ATATAAATAATAATTAAAGTTTTTTAATTAAATAAAAATATTTAATAAGAAAAACATGCACGATTCAAATATATATATCATGACTTAGAGATCTGTTATTCTATGTATGTACTCGAACTTCAAGCACCCAAAAATTAATAAATCTAGCAAAGAGTGACTGCATTTTCACTTGGAAGGTCATGTATCTGCAAGAAAACTTCGATATTTTCATTGTGATTAAATTATAAGGGGCGGCAGATTTGGATGGTTGCAAGCCTCTAATATTTTTTTTACTCATCAGAAGATAGTTGATTTGGAAAATGCTTAGCAGCAAAACTGATTTGGAAATGAAGACTCATTCTTCGTTTTATCAAATACTTTGATTTTACCTTCTTAATTTCCAAGGAGGAGGTTTAGATCACCAAGATTTTCACGACCGTTCAACAAATATGCATACAAAATATCATTCCATGTATCATTTAGTCCCGGTAAGTAAGCACCAGTGAACACGATCAACAAAATTTTCAAGATAAAATCTCTGTTCCCTGTCAAAAATTTGCCCTTCCATTCACCATAAACAGATACGAGCATCTTTCTAATCTTCTGACAATTGTGTAATGTTCAAAACTGTGGTGGTTGATCTTTAGTTCTTGTAAGATGTTGCAAACTATCTCCATAATGGCAAGACTATATCCAATTCCCTAGTATGATGCTTCTTGGATTGGATTGGATAGGTATTCACCAAAGCAGTCTCATTACTGCCTGGCTTCCATCCTTCCCCTTTGATGTATGCTGCAGTAGTAGCTGTGACATTCCAAAAAAAGCACAGAACCAATCCTGCACAAGGAAGAAATATATATTTACCATTCATAACATATATCAATACAGACACTGATAAGCATAACGTCATGTTTGACATCATGTATATAATTGAATGTATTCAGTCAATAAATATATAATATACTGAAAGTGAAAAAGCTTGCATACCTAAGAATGATGAAAAGGCAATGTACATCAACTTTTCTAGATAAATCAATATATCATTGCGAACAACTGAGGCAAATGGCGGCCAATCTGCAAAACAAAAAATCAAAAATTCTACACCATCATGGCATGAATGAAAGACTAATAATCCATCAAAGGCAACAGAAACAAACCACTACGTGGATATGATGAGTAATCAACAAAACATAACATCAACTGCAAGTTACCTCTTGCTAATGCCTCTATTTTGCTTCACTTCCTGTGCTGAATGTCCCAAAGAAAACATTGAGTGAAAATCGTAAAAGTCTACATGTCTCAATTCAATCTCCTTAACATACCTCTTACTGCTAGTTAAATTCAACTTCCATGGCCAATCTCCTCATCTTTCCTCTACAATTCCTAAGATAATTTGAACATTCTAAATATAATCACCGCTCAATTTCATAGAACAAGAGGGAAGTAGCATGCATGGAGATGGACTAAGGTATATACACTAACCTTAGAGGGTCTAGTAATTGTAGCAAAAGGGATATCATGATTTGCATCACAACCATAGTTGAGAGCAACTGGTTCAAGAGGAAGAGGTGAAGGCATTGAAGGGATCTACAAATTCACAATCATTGATCAGTAATCAGAATCATATCATTAAAATATATATATATATATATATATATATATTTCATTCTTAGTAAGAAAGGACCTTTCACTATTTGTGCTTTTCTGCTGTCAACTGAAGTTTCTTCCCGTAACAATTTTTGGTAGGTCCATAGAAACAAAATTTGATGGCATCTTCTAACTTGTCTTCGCCCCACGAATCAAAAACTATCCCCCTTTTCCTACTAGCTTTACCATTAGTATCTCTCTTGACCATTAAAATTAACTTCAACTTCATCACCAAGTTCCCCATCTCCACCTGCTTCATGAGCATAAATCCATGCATCTGCAACAAGTAAAATGAAAGAAAGAAGAAAAATGTTAGTTAAGAGCATAATATGGAGCTCCATAGAACGAAAAGGTTAACTATTGGAAGCACTCCAGTAATGTGTATATAATTAGAAACAATTTAGGCATTGAAGCAACCAAAACCCAGAGGAAAGGGAGACCTTGAGCTTGAGCTAATTGACTCAACTATCAAAAGGTGCTTAATTTAAGCAATACATAGAAATCAATTTATAAAGAAAATGTAAAGATCACAAAAATGCAATAAAACCCAAAATTAAGAAAACAAATGAAGAAAGTGAAATGAAATAATACACGAAAAATGTTGTTTCATCCATAGATATTTAACCAGTCTTATTACTTACATTTCTATTAAACTTACTTTTTGAAAATTTTGGCCTACTTAATACAATTACCATCAAATAACCAACAAAAAAAACTCCAAGGAACAAGCAAAAGAAAAAATAAAGAGAATGAAATGCAATAAACAAGTAAAAATATGCGTACTAGGAATTCATGAGAGCTGAGCAATTATTTTAAAGCTGTAATTTTCCATCATGCCCTGCCTTCTGTGTTGTGGTGATTTCTAAATCAAACTCCCTTTACTGTTCACTTCAAACTACAAAGATTATTCCCTTCTTAGCGACCAGAAGAATCTAGGATTGCAAATGATATAAAGAAAATGAAATAAAATAAATATGGTTAAAAACCTGCAAAGGTGGAACAAGTCTGACGGTGAAGGGCTGCTAGAGTATTCTCCAATTCAATGCTCAATTCAACAAAGCCAAGGGAATTTTCAATTATAACAATATATCAAACACGAAAGGTTTTACGAAAACTACATTTCAAATTGATATTAGAGTCACATTATATCAATCAAACAGAGTAGAAATCCCATAACACAACATGCTTGACAGCTTAATTACAATTCAAAACACATTATGAATGAAATCAACACTAAACCAAGTCCATCCAATAAATAAAAGACACATAAATTGAAACAAGAACGAGATGATTGTCAATCAAATCAAGGAGTATTGGCTCTGGTTGAGTCTCATTTTTACTTTTCTTTGCTGCCCCATCAAGAGAAGTCTTTGCTTGATAAAAGATCCTACAAGCAACATCAAAGCTTTAAAATATGTTAAAAGAGTTTGGAGCCAACAAGAGACCAACAAATCGATCCTAAAAAACTATAGAAATTGAAGACATAGTGAGTGATGCAGTTGGATTCCATGGTACCAAACTAGTTTGCAAAATGTTGAGAAATGTCAGTATATCATATATATACAGAAAAACAAATGAAAGAAAAAATATATATATATATGTTAATGTTACAACCATGATTTTATTAGTTGATCATCTTTTCCTTAATTTTTAGGATGAAACATGATCTCATTTTGTTAACACGATGCTTTGTTGAAGCTATTTTACTAGGCGATTAAAAAAGGGCTTAATTTCCACCACATAACTCAAAAACCAAGAGAATAAAATAACGAAATCACGGACTCAAAAACACCAAAATTCAAAAAAAATAAAAGTAAGAATAACAAAATCACAACTTACATAATTGGAATTTATGGGACATGAGAGCAAAGCGTGGATGCACCTCAATCTCATCTCTTCCAGAATACCTCTTGTCCTACGTCAACTTTCCTGTCATGTGTTGTAAAGGAAAGGCTTTTATTTCCATGCGTTATTGTGGTTGCATGTGACTTGTTATTTACACACCTGTTACTATACAGTTATCTGAACAAAATTGAAGATATCTCAGGGACTGCCCTTGCAGATCAGATGACAGAAATTTTAACTAAACAATCAAATTCAAATTAGAATAAATCATTCAACCCCTTACCTCCTCTCTGGAGCAAATCCCAAGAAAGGTTAGAGTATGTTCTTAGCATTAGAATGACCCCACTCCACCAATGATTCCCACCACTCTTTAGCAATGTAGATTTTTCTGAGACAAGGAGGAAGAGATGGTTGGCCATTATCTACCGGGGTTTAGTGGGATCCTCTTTAACTTTGGACATTCCCTTATCTGAATTTCTTCAATAGAATCACAAACCATGATCCTATTCGCTTTGCAAATGCTCTTCAATTGGGGTAAGTATGTCAAATGAAGTTCCCTTAACTTAGGAAAAGTGAAAATACATTTGTTCGATGACGATGTGTCTGAATCTGATGATGATATTATCTCCTCCATTTGTTCGCAGTTATTAACCCAAATCACCTCTAAGTTTTGGAAGGTTTGCAATAGCTCAAGTGGAAGCAAATTCCTCATTCCTGAACATCTAACTATATGAAGTGTCTTAAGATTGGAAAAGACACATGGCGGCGTTGTGACTCCTTCCACTCTCATGAGTGCCCACAACCTAGGCAAACTCTCAAGAAAGAGACTTTCAAGCTTATCGAGTATCGGACTATAGGATGGGAAGGAGGATGAGTCCAACTCAACCACGTACTCTATCTCTTCACAACAAGTAATAATACAAATACTCAACTCGGTTGCATTTTCTAACAAAACTGTTTTGTTTAAACTGCTTCTGATGTTTTTACAGTTATGGATCTGCAAATACTGAAGGTTATCTAGAAGCACTATCAATTCTTCTCCAATGTCACACCCACCAATTATAAGTCTGCATTTATATTTAGGATTGTCAATATCCGTAAACCAGTTCCTCATTGTTCCCACCACAAGCTTGTAAGCAGTCAAATTCTGAAAATTTTTTAACTCACTCAAAAAATAACTGAAGCCTTGCATGTCTTCCAATTTACATTCTATAATCTCCAACTTTCTCAGTCTAGCAGTCTCTTTTAAGTTTATCTTTACACTACATATTCCCTTATCATCTGTTACCACCAAATACTGGAGACTAGATAATTTAAACAATATTCCTGTTGGAATCTTTTTTAGATTTTCACAAAGTAAATCAAGATATTCAAGACTTACCAACATCTCCATGCCTTGAGGGACCACCTCAATTCCTGCCCATCTCAGATCCAACTTCTTTAATGCCACAAGCTTCTTCAAGGAAGGCAAGCACTTTAACCTCTTGCACCCACTTAACCGTAGTACAGAGAGATACTTCAGCTTGGAGATGGAACTAGGTAAAGCTTCAATATAAGTTCCAGAGAGATCAAGAACCTTGAGTCCACTCATATCCTTAAAAAAAGATTTTGGAATCTTTGTCAAAGGATTGTCCGATAATATCAAAGTTGACAAGGTCGGACACTTTGGAGTCAATCCAACAGGAATTTCTGAAATGTAATTTGCCATTAGAGATACCTTATTAAGATCTCTAGCCCACTCATATTCATTTGGTACCTTTGTCAATTTCATACCAGTTTTTACCATATATCCAACTCCAGTACCAATGCTTCTGATAGCCATGTCTCTCACAACATCACGCATCTTAATTGCTATCGTGAAATGTTTCTCTAACAAGCTATTCTTTTCAAGCACATCTAAAAAGGCATGGCCCCTGTCATAAGCTGCTTCCCTGCTTCTCAATCCATCCATTAGTCCTTCATCAATCCAACCTTCTATCAATTCCTCCTTTTTAAATGAATAATCTTCGCGAAACAAGGAGCAATAAAGAAAACAATTCTTGATTTTCTCATCAGGCAAACGATCAAAACTAAATTTTAACCGCATAAATATCTCATCTTCTGAACCTTTCACACTCTTAACACATTCTTGTAATTCAGTCAGTGCATTTCTCCACACCTTAATATCATCCACTCCTTTCATGCTCCCCGCTATCACAACAATAGCGAGCGGTAAACCAGCACACTCCTTCACCATAAGCTTCAGGGTTTCTTCCAATTCCGGCACGTTTTGTAAAACAGCATGTCCAACCTTATCTAGGAATAGGTTTAGAGACTCCTCTTGTGAAAGAGGCTGCACTTTAACAATCTCACAACCCAAAAACTGGCATACTTCAACTGATCTACTAGTGATAACTACTTTGCACCCATTCTGGAGTGTTGGTTTTGGGATTCCAATATCACTCAAAGAAAATTTTTCCCATACATCATCTAATATTAGCACAAATCTCACTCTTCTCATTATTTCCATTAGTGCGCCTGCTCGCATCATCACGTCTTCATCGTCTTGAAGTCTTTTGTCCATAGCATCAGCAACCTTCCTTTGTAATTCAAAAACATTGATAGGATATGATACAGTAACCCAGATCACTTTCTGAAATCTAGTCCCCCTCTGTAAATCATTGTGGAGATTCTTCATGATCGTAGTCTTTCCAACTCCACCAATCCCACAAACTCCGATCAATCCAACCTCATCACCCATCAAGGACCTCCAAATTTCTTCTTTAGTAGATCCCCCCACTAGATTCTCTATTGGAATTATGTTTCCATGAGCTGGAGCTCTCTCAATAAAAGCGCCTTCAGGAAATCTACCTTTTTCAAACATGTCCTCCACCACTTTAATTTTTCTGCAAACATGTTTGTCGAGACAGGCACGCTTGTACCACTTGACTCCCTGCACCTTCTCTAAAAATGCTCGCACATCAACATTGATCTCTTGTGCTTGCTTAGGCCAGTCTTGCACTTCTCGTCTAACCACTTGTCCCGCGCAAGCCTCTGCTTCTTCTATTCTTGATTCTATATCTTGCTTTCGGTTGGTTAGATTGTCCAATATTCTTCTCAGCTCACCCACATCATCATTAAAATTCTGATATTGATCTATACAATTGCAGGTTGGAGTACCACAAATGCAACTCAATGCACCGAAGATTGCCCCTACTATGTCCGCCATTAAAAAAGATCTTGAAATATAATAAATAATGTGAATAAAAATATACTTCTAGTGTTCGTCAACAGAAAATTCAAAAGCATAAATAAACAATAAAAAAAAAGTTAAATTAAACTATAAAAAAAAGTTAAATTAAATTATCAATTCCTTCTCATCAAAGTAAATTACCAATTCCAACCATATATAGGAGGTATAAAATTAAACCATACATTACCATAGAAAATGAGAAACAAGAAACTATATATATTATAGAAATGAATAAGTTAGTTGAAATACTAATTTTATTCCGTTCGCTTCCTTGTTTGGCAGCAGATGTATTCATCTAATTAAATAAATATGCTAATGGCTTAAGTAATGAACAAGGTTCCAAACTCTCACTAAACTCATAATTATCTCATGGTTCTATTTTGCTCAAATATAGCACTAAAGTAATTGAAATTTTCAAATAAAATCACAATTAGACAAAAACTATGAGATCTAACATTATTAACTCTAAGTAGTCATTAACTAAATATTCATTTAGAGTTGTTAATAATTGAAAAGTTCAGTTGATTATATACTTGAGTCGTTAAACACATTTTTTTTGGAACATGTTATCAAACACTTTTATTATTAAGCACTAGTGCTAATTAATTGAAAATTTTCGGTTTAAGTTGGGTTGATATTCAGAAGGACCCTGATTGGTGCACACCCGGATCCAACACCCGGGTGTGCACCC